TCACTCGCTCTCATGAGCAATTGGTAATACCCATCGACCAAGTCGAGTGCACTGTATTTTGTACATCCACCCAAATTGTTCTGGAGAACATCCCTCCTAGGAATTGGTGTCTGTGCCAGAATGGTGGCAGCGCTGAGCTTTTTATAAGCGTGAACGATACGCCACTTGGGTGTCGAATGGGGAGACTTGCTCTCACGCACCATTCCTGCGTCGTGCTTCGCACAGAAGAAGGCGTCAATGACGACACACTAGTACTCCTTGGGCAGGGGCTATTGGCGTGTTACGCAGTATTTGGTTTCCGGAACCAGGTCGATCCCATGACGCACATCTCGGTCCGGAGGTAGGACCGACGGCGAGTCTTTGGAGACGACGTCTTGAAATCCCTTCACAAAAGGACAGTACGAATCCGAGGTGTTCTTAAGTATCGAAGATCCAATTTGTGCGCTCAGCACCCTCTTGGTGTATTCCAGGATAGCTTTAGCCAAAAACTGATCTCCTCTTCCGGTCGTATAAGCACCACTTTGGCTAAGTCGCCTGCCTTCAAGGCACCGCCGAGCTCTTCGAGGGACATTTCGTCCAGCTCAAGAAGAGCATCCACCGCAGGAATAGCCTCGAAGGTGACGTCGCCTCTTTCTACCCTGTCATACCGTTGACGAGGGTGTATAGCTGTGCTCTATCGTCTACGGTAGACACATCCTGGGTCAGGCTCGACGGTGTCTTGCAGCTAGCATACGGCGTCGCTGTCGCCTTTCCACAAAGGTTTTAATTTTTGGTGAGACCAGTGCACTCAGCGTCGTCCAAAGTCAGCCTCACTTCCTACTCTACCGAAGTTTTGACCCGGTGAAGAGCTACTAGCTCCGAAGTCTTCGTCCAGTGGATAACGTGCCATTTCACGCGCATCTGAAGGGCTTTGCCCAAGATGTCTCGGATCTCGTCCAACCATGCCATTCGTGACACGCAGCGACTGCTTCAAACCTGAGCAGTGCTCAGCGGACTACGTACCACACCACGTGCCTCACTGAGGCCTCACCCTCGATGCCTCGGACCTCGTCCGACCATGCCACTATCGGCGAAGGCACTGGACCGAGACGGTCAAAGTGTTGGAGATTGGAGTATCCGAGTTGGTGAAAACCGAATGTGTATCGAACAGAAGTCCCGTGCTTGGCTCGAAGGCTGAACGTGGAGTGACACGTAACCCACTGAGCGCTGCTAATGTATCGAAGCAATCGCCGCATACCACGAAATTATGCTCGACGCTCCACGATGAAAGAAAGTCAGTTGTATGCTGAGGCGCTGAAAGCGCGGTTGAGTGACATCGTCACTGTTTGCTTAGCGACGGGAAGATGTGTCATGGTGCCAAAAGGTCCCTGTGGACCTTGGGTGTAAAGCTTCTTGACTTTGATAGCGTAACACGCTACTTAGCCTGAGACTTGGATTCAAGGTATGACCTCATCCTTGGTATGGCATGGCTGGAACACCATAAGCCATGGATCGACTAGAGGTCGAAGACATTAGGTGCTACGCCCGCGTCTCCTGGTGGAGCTTTGGTGATTATTTACCCACCTCTGCTAGCAGGCAAAAATGCTGCCCCGAAGTCGATCAGGATCTGCCATGGCTTCCCAAAGCCCTTCGCGGTCGCTTCCACGACCAGCAAGCCCGGCATGTATACATGTTCCGCGCTCAACCGCGACGCGCTTCAACGCTGGGCCCTGCTGACCTCTACCTCCTTGATGCGCAACAGAACTCATTTTTCCCCCAGAAGACCCCCTCGCGCCTACTGGGTGTTGTCATTTCTACGCGACAAAAAGCGGGACGTCAATTTAATAAACCTTGACGCGCCTTGTGCAGAGGGCAACCAATCCGAGGGTGACGGGCGTCTCCAAAGACAAAAAACCTTCGGGTGTTCGAACGCTGCTCAGTAGCCTGGAGCTCTGCATCTTCGTCCTCAGCATAGCTGAGCTCCATCGGCTCAGGCCCGCTCGACGAGCTGCTCGAGTGTAAATCGCGCCGATTTTAAGTTGAGTTCAGCATTCAGGGCCACATTCACTGCTTCATTAAAAGACGCCGGGTGCACACGGAGACTTTTATTCTAGCCACGCCAGTGCGAAGGCCCTCCGTAAAGACGGTAGACCGCCTCGGGGAGAGAGTTGGGTGCCATACCGGCAATTAAAGTATGCAACTCTTGGATAAAGTCCACCAACTGCTTCGTGCCCTGTCGGGCGGTAAGGAAACGCGATCGCACGCGATAGGCTTGGTTAGGGGGCGAGAACACTCGTGAAAGCTGCAGCTTCAGCTCCATATAAGAGGGAAACACCGCTTCGACCGAAGTGCCGCACGTCTGTGCCCATTCTCGCTCTCGGCCACCGAGCTTGGAGATAGCTAGCGCCACGCGCCGTTGCTTGGTCTGGAGTACGGCGGATGCCATGACCACGTCGACCTCTCTCATCTAGAGCAAGAGATTCTCTCCATCCTTATCTTTGAAGGCCTTAACGATCACCATGAGCGACCTGGGTCGGGAGGAGTCATCTGTCGCCGACGGTGGCATCATGGACGCAGTCGATGGCGGTATCTTCTTCTCTTGGTGCTCTGGCGAAGCATTTTTATAGCTTAAAACCGACTCTAGGCGCACGCTTATCGCTTCAGGTCCTTGCGAAGCGAGATGTTGCGCGCCCTCAGGGCCAAGCAGAGACATCAGCTTTTCAAGCCCATCCTGCATACCCGGAGGCAAATAAGAGAACTGCTTCATCCTCACATAGTGTCAGTCGTAACGACTCAGGTATAGATTGACTACAAGTGCTACCAAGTGCAACAGGGCTGCCGTAGCTCTTTCGATTAGAGAAAGCTTGGTGAAAGTCGATGACCTTTTTTCTATACTTAGAACCAGTACAAGTGTAGCGAATCACATCTCACTTACTCCAATAGTAAATACAACTTAATCCAAGGTGGCAAAGCCGAAATTTATAGGTTTTCCTATCAATATAGCAAAACCTAATCAAATGTATAAATACTGGTAAGCCAGCCACGTACTGACTTTTTGTTTAAGTGTAGCCACGCCATTGTGTGGTCAAACCATATTGTGTAACCCACACCCTTCATACCAAGGCACGTGATACCCCGTTACACTTCACTTTCGACAAACGCCCTCAATTTTTTTATTTTGGTTACGTTCAGTGCCGAGTCTGAAAAATGCTGGGTTTATCCATTCTCAGCTAGACCAACGCTCCTCAGGTCTGCTAGCTGCCCCAGGCTTTTGATTACGGCTGTTCTGATGAAGAATAAGATTAGGACAATTAAATTGACGGCGTAGAAGAATGATGATTGTTAATAAATACTTGAATTTGCGTTTTTGACCACTAATTAAAAAACCCAGATAGTTCTGGGGTTTATAAAGTCTAGCACTATATAACCCATAAACCCAAATGATTTAAAAAAATGGGTTTTTGCCGCCCCTTAGTGTTTTATTCCGTTTTTCTTTGCTTAGAAAGACAAGAAGTCGATAAATTATGGCTGCACGCGTGAAGAACGTTTTCAAGCGGTATGGTCGCACTGCTTTCTTCTTTCATTCAGCTGTCTTCACCTCGACTCTCGTGGGATCATATGCTGCAATTAATCAGGGCGTTGATCTACAGGCAGTCGCCAAGCGTGTTCCCTTCATTGATCTGTCCAGCATGGACCCAGATGCCAGCACGCTGGCACTCGCCTATCTTTCGACTGTGGCCACCGGTCCGGTCAGAGGTGCGCTCACCATCGCCGCGTCACCAATTCTAGCACGTCTACTGACTCGAAGCCGCCAGCTCACCAAATTCTAGATATGCAATAGCCTGCAATCATAATTCTGACACATGCTAAACACAATACCTGGTCAGCCTGATTAAATTAAATGATGATTGTCCTAGACATTGTACTGAAAAGCAGACTACTTGATTGCTGTCAATTCTTTGCTGACGTTTCTAACAATCATTCCACTCTAATGTTTTTGCGTTTTCTCGTTTTTCGTATCTGTGATTGTTGGAAAAAATGGCACTTGAAGTTTTGTGTCCAGAGCAGCAAGGTGTGGAAGGTCGTTTTCATCATCCACTAGTGTTGTAGAGTGCCGAGCGACACTGAGCCACGCAAGGCTGAGATACGAATGCATGACATCCGGAACTGCGTCAGGATATTTACACAATCCACCGAAGCGGAATTGACACGAGTAGATAAATTTCTTGCAACTTGGTATATCCACAAATGAATCTTTGTCTAAGAGACTAAGGGTTGCACCATTCCAGAAAGCGTAGCAGGAGTCGGGAATCTTGTTGCATCGTCCTTGAAAGCCGCCTTGTTGTCGAAATACCAGCCAACGCACCAGCTCCGACAGCTCACACTCGAGCTGAGCCATTTGGCCAGATAATACGAGTGACGCTATGGCAACGAATGCAGCCCCACCATGCGACTCGGCGCTAGTGCTTAGCCCAATGCCTCCGTCGTGATTCTAACAAAGCAGCGACCGACGTAAGATGTAGGAAACTTCTAGTGTTCAGTTGATATTTACCGTACCAGACACGAGTTTATGAAGCGCACCATCGCTGCCACATCAACACCCGACCAGTCATTTAGAATATAAGAGATTGCGCAGGCACAATAGACAAAGCGCATGTCCTGTTCCGAACCAGATTTCGTCGACGAAAAGCTACAGAGTCGTCCGTCAGGTCCAAAGTATACACGGCAAATACTTTGTGGCTGGTCTTACCATCCTGTTTCTATGTTTTGCAGAATCTTCAAGGATCCGATGATAGCCGCCTTATTAACCCGACTGAGGTCATCTCCAAGCGTCCGAAGGATGCACAATGCCGCAAAGGTCGATGCAATGTTGCTCGAGTCGTACACGTCGCTCTTGTATTGAGACGCTGGACAAGCAAAGTTATTGCCCATAAAAGTTCCACCCCGAAAACCACAGTCACCAACGTTAAAACTGGCGTCACGATGGTCTGGAGGCACCTGTAAACCATAAACCCACTCAATAATTTGGCGCTTGTCTACGCGTTCAAGCTCCTCCAGCACAGCAAGTCCATGAATACAGAAAAAAGATAAAACCACACGCTGCGAGTCTTGAGGAGCGTACGCCGCAGGCAGCGACTGCAGATTTTTAAGGAAATAGCTGACGTGCAAGTCACGGTCGAACGATATCGACATGCCTGATATACGGAACGTGTGAATTGCAAAATAGATTATGCATTTAAACACGCTGACAGATGTGAAATGATTTACTGTATTGTGGTGGAAACATTATGTAACTAAACTTCACATATCATTTTTAATGTAGTTGTGAACATTGACACTTTGAAGATAAAAATGTTTGTAAGGGGTCCGTAAAATGTGGTCTGCTAGCCACAATTAAGACAGTTTATTATGAACGATAATAGATTTAGCATATGCCGGAGTGGCTTAAATCCTACTCCATTTACTATTTGAATAAAAATCGTATGGGCTCTCAGTTCCGCGGTACGAACCCTGCGTTTGCTAACGAGGACTCTCAAAATCAAAGCTGTCTCTGTGTAAAGTGTAAAGCCAAGCCGTAGTAGTCTCGAAATAGAAAAAAATATTTACATGGGCAAACCGCCGTCGCTTTCGAGTCTTGAAGCATATGCGACGATGTACCATTTGCTCTCATCAATATACATGTCGTATCTTGATAAGAGGTAGAGTATGTTATGACAATGGGCCGGACTACCAGGGCAACGGTCTGCTGTGCGCTTTGTACAGAGGAAGCTTTGACTCAAAAAGTACAGAGCAAAGGCAACCACGATAGTCGCTACCTTAACTACCGCTCTGCTTTTTTAAAGGTATATATATATCTGATGAGATATTAAAACTAAATATATACGCTTTACTATCTCTCATAATAAAACTGTATTTTTCGTCTGGTGTGCAGCTAGCAGCCCACGTATACCGCGGATCCCTTTTTTCACTGTTCATTGCCATCATATCTACCGATATCTCGGTACATATGAGCATTGTGCAGTATTATATACAATTTAATTGTACCAGATGTTTCAAGTGTAAGCACACAAGATTCAAGAGCTTGCCTCATTAAACCCTCCCTCGATTTGTTGCGGACCACACTGAAGCTCACACTTCTTCTGTCTTTCTGAGACACGGCGCAAAATCGACCATTTTACGAGCTTTCACTGCGATTATAGCGTACATCCAACCTTTGCACTTGACCATGTCTGCTCTAAGAGCTTATTTGCGCCGGGAGACATCTCCCACGCATCAATACAATTGGCTCAACGAGTATTCGAAAAAGGAGTGGTCCTCGGGAACAATGTACATAAGGTAATCTCAGCCAGAATGCCGAGGTGTTCTTCGATGAGAACAGTCGTATGGAATTTCTGATCTGGTAAGCGTTTTATTTACAAGGCCTAGCCGCTACCCGAGAATGGACCTTCATGGTACTCAGCCTCTCAATTCAACGTGCTCGAGCTCCGTGTCCTTTTTTTCATCAGCGTGGGGTGATGCGACGACTGCAGTGAAGCTCTCGACAATTTATAGCTCGTCACCATGGTCATAACCTTCTGGTCTTAAAACAGCAACGGTTGAAGGAGCCTGTATCCCGGTAAAGAAATGTAGCTTGAGTAATAGAGGCTGGCGAAAGTTTTGATGGGTATCAAACTCATTTCGCGCACCGGGTGAGAAACACACGCTTTCTAACCCGCATATAGAGAGGCCTTACAAGCCAGTTTCAATGAGGCGGTCCTCCGCCTAGAGTCGTCTGGTGCTTGATTTTGCAAAGCTCAAATCACGACGCGGGCGTCGACGTGACAGCTCCTGCTATTTACAGCCCTATGCGTTTACATAAAACAGCTGTCGCAGCTACCAACATGGGCCAAATTTACCTCAAAGACAAGGCACTCTTGACCTCAAACATCCGCAAGTTTCCAACTGAAGATACACCTTTAACCAGAAACTGGTGACAGCCAGGGGGAAAAACGTTACATGTGAAAGTGGGCCAACCCATTCTCATCGAGCAGTGCCGGCGCTCCAACCGCTGGCCCTTATGAGCTCACTTGGTTGTGGTGGATGACTAAGTATTTCCGAGAATCTCGGCACGCGCCCTAAGCTGAGATGATCCCGATCTTGACTCTGACCTTCGTCGTTACGTTTTCCCACCCCAGCGGTTTACATCCGCATCGCTTCTCGGATCAAAGGGTTGTCGGATCAGGAGATAATAAAGACGTTGCTCCGTCTGCACCAGAGCTCTTCATATTTGAGAAGCTTGAAAAAGAGCGGGATCGTGGTATGGCTAGAGAAGGCTCACGTGAATCCCAGGAAATGTTTGTATATCTCTTTGGGATGTTAAGAGTATTACTCACATCGTTCGTCACTAGGACCATGAACGATACGATGCAGCGCGGTCGAAACATAGTGTTATCAAAGCGCAGACATTGCACATTAAGATAGAATCAATATCGTTCAAAGCTAAGATTTCTTCTCAGTTCGTGGCGTACGCTACCCCCCAGAAAGCCATATTTGGCTTGTAGTATCTTGCATCGCGGAGTCAAAGCTACCGAGCGATTTATGTAGAATAAGGTAAAGCCTGTAGAGGCACGTACTGCGTTATTTGAAGAAAACTCAATGAGGAGGAGCAACTTGCTCCAGCCTATCCGTGCGAATGCTTCGAAGTATACTCCTCACCGCACAATTTGCATGTTCCATCTAAACATCTGTATAAGGATGGCCAGGCGCTGTCATATTCAAGCTGGCGACGAATTTTTGCCAAAACTTCGCTGTAAAGCGCGGATATCTATCCGATACAATGAATACTGACAATCTATGTTGGCAAATCTTCTTTAAAAACAGCTTGGCTATGTTCTACTACCACAGACAGCGGTGAGATGACTTACCAAACGGTCCACAAAGCTTACTATAGCATGTCCCTCGCGAAATCTATTGTAGCTGTGCTTGCGCAAAAAGCTCTCCTGCTATCCGGCAGAGGTTGTTTTGCCAAGCCCCACAGGGATAGAAGTGAGTGGCTCCTAATCTTTTCAGCTTTCAGCGGACCTATGGCTCGTGGCATTACAGCCACGCTGTATCTAATGTGAGATCGCATATTAGAGCCGGGCCCATGAACAGACAACGCGTTACTCTGCCAAAATTCTTAAACTTCACTAAATCATTAAATCTAAGCTTCGATACATTTTTACCTCCCTGTCTCAGGATACATGGGATTCGTTTCCGGATTTGGCATCTAATGCCTCTGCGCATTATCAACCGATTTCATTGTCTAAAGTCGCGCGTCGTATAGGATTGCACGGCAATCTTGAGCGTTTCAGGACTTTTCACGGCTTCACTGAGCTTTCAAACCCATCTCTCTGAGAGAAAATCACGTAATGGACTCTGGTCCTACCTCCACGAAGTTCAATGAAAGCTTGTTCTTCCTCAGTGGGCCGCCTGGCGATTGCTAAGACTCGACAATTTCCCATGAGGGATTTTTTGCCCACCCGTGCGTGGAAGTCCAACCCTGCGGACCCACTAGGAAAGAGGGAAGGGGGCACGTAAGACGCATATACCAAAACTTACCGCGAGTATAGTTTAGTGCCACTGAGTTGATCAACATATTAAAGAGACCCCCCCCCTTAGTATGGTCGAGGTCCATCGTCAGTGGTGCGCTCATAGAGCTAAAGTTCTAGTACTTCTTCTGGGTTTCGCAGCGCACTCCGCGTTGATCGCGACATCCAACGCTTTTCCGAAAGGGTCAGGGTGAACGCAAAACGTCTCGGTGCGAGCCGCACCGATCGGATACTCTTCGTGAAAATAATAACCGCAACCGCGCCCAGAGAATGTTCCGACACCATTGCGGCAATTAGAGCTCTTTACTACTGGGAATAGTCCGCCAGTTCTCACCATCCTTGACGAGTGAATCATAATTCTGATAGCACTCTATACGTCTACTTTGCCGGTGTGGGCACGCAGAACCTGTCGCTTTAAACGTCTGTATTGCGGGTCAATACCCATTCCTAGTTTGAAACTCCTAAGCGATGCGCTGGGCTTAAAACAAAGCCAAATCCATGCCCATCACAACTTTCCTCATCCAGATGAAGAAGTTGTCTCCATTTCAGCAGCCTCATGGTCGGGACGTTTTGTTCCTCCATTACAACTGGATTACTTTTTTTGAAGAGTAAGTTAGGTACAGAATACTATACAATACACATAATATTCCTATGGGTGGCCATCCTGGAAGAGAAAGACATACTGCTCAGTGAGTGCTGTGAAATTTGTAGTCCAATATGTCTTATCGGTCATGCACGTCATTCGCACGCGTGAATGGTATCGACGAGCCAAGCCCTCACCACACGTGCCGGCACTTTGGCCAGTCTGCCGACTTCTGTGAAAAATGAGCATTTCCTATATTGTAGACGATATTTTCGGTTCAAAAAATGTGTAAGTCTTGTCGTTTATGTGAAGTGTATATCGAGCTGGATTATCCTACGCCTGTGAGCATCAGCTCCAACCAAGCCGCTCCTTAACAAAAGCTTTGCTAATATTGCTGTCCGTCACGCGAATATTGTTCAAGGACCAGATTATAAATATCTGCCGCTGATCATCTCCAGACGTGACGAGGGGTATTCTCGCGAAGATTTGTGGAGAAAGACCACGGTGCCGTAGCAATATGCTACCACTATTTTTTGTGTTGAATCATGCAAAACACAACTCAACATGCTTGACCCGATTTTTCCAATAAAATGGTAAATATTCATGTCCTTTGACATCACCACATCTTGATGGGGATGGCGGTCACAATTAAGCTTTATAAAACTGCATTGGCCTATATGCGAATGGGTGTTTGTAGTATATAAAAGATAGCTGCGACATTGATGCATGGGATTACTTTGGGTGGTACCTATAAGGTGGTTGGGATATGCCCTTAATGCACTCACGAGGTTGGCTCTCGTAAACTATCTTGGTTATACCTGAATAATGACTCTCCAAGAGTCACGGCGTGCGGCTGATGTTAGCGTTATTCAGTTTTTATGCATCGTTAGAGCTGCGGGGTTGGACCGATTGGATCAAGACCCTAGAAGGAGCAAAATACTGTATCGCTGCTTTGGACCAAGACGTTACTCAGCTATGGCGGATGACTGAGACATTACTTCATTCGCAGTAGAGCGCTTTGCATCGGGGACGACTTATATAAAGAAAATTGTGGTGGTGGTATGGATTGAGCACACCAACATAGAGCGCTGAGTACATTTAAATAATCGCTGGGATCATCCTTCGCCGACATTGAACGATGATCAAAACCGGTCTTCTCTCGTGTGGAGCGAATATCTGGCCGACAGATTCACCTGGGCTGTAACCAGTATATATTGAAGTAGAAAGGATACACTTACCACTTAAACCCATGGGGTTTGCGGTCACGCCTTGGCTAGTTTGCCCTGGTACTGTCGCTATTTACAACTTGGCGCATTTTCAGTCGCTCTCTCACCAGGAAAGCTGACAGGGTGTCCTTAAACAATGCATCTTCTCTTAGTGAGTGAGCCTCCGGTTAATTTACAGTCTGATACATGACAGGCAGCTGTACCAACACGCTCTCGAAGATGTACAAGCCTACTTATAGCAAAACCTGAAGATGATGAACACCACCTGCGTCTGTTGCAGCGTCACTGTACCTCAGGACTTCTCTTGTAAAGTCATGTCGCTCTTATCAGACCTTGGAAGTTATGCATGAAACAGATTCATCATAACAGCAGTTGTCTGAAGATGATACGTCTCGCCGTCCTCCTCCTCGACTTTTTAATCTAATGGCATCGGACGCCATTGCATAAGCTTTATCTTTTTATCTTTCTCCGTCATTTTCGTCTTTATTTGGTCCTTGATACTATATATCGCTTGCTTTAATGGATCGGCTTCGACTTCGAAGTTCCCTTCCTTTTCTTGCTGTGTTGGTTTCCATTGCAGATCTTCCGTCCACTCACCATTTCCTGCTTCCCCTTCCGTTGCCCAAAGCTATCCATTTTTTGCTTTGACGAATCTGCTGTATCGTTATTTCAACCTTGCGTGCCATTGCATGCACTTTGTCTCCGTTGTATTTTCTTGCATTTTCCTGTTCCTCTGACCTTTCACCGTGTTCATCGCTTGCTTATATGGAGCCATATCTCTTTCTTCGCCAAAAAACTGTGGAAGACCCGATTGCAAAAGCTTTGCCTTCTTCAACTTCTTCTTCTCTTGTATCTTGGTCGAAACGACATCCTAAACAGCTACCGGACGTGCCACTTTCTCCACATAAACTTTAGCGTTTGAAGATTCTATTTTCTTCTTCTTCATATCGCTGAATTTCACTCGGTACAAGCTTTTTCTCGGCCATACCAACAAGCTTCTTTTTGCGTTTCTTACGCTTGGCGTTAAATAAAACATTAAGCGTCGTTAAACTCGGAGCGACTTTTCCGTGTGGCGGCGTTTCAAACATTCGGGCATGGAAATTTTCTAGCCGCTTGTGGTCGTCGTCTTCGAAGTTTTCGGAGGGTCAGCGTTTCTTCGCCATCATTTAGAAGGCTAATGTTTATTGGTGGCAATGGCCAGTAAAAGCTCAACGATGTCTAATAGCTCAATTTTGCAGTCGATGAGTTATCGCAGTTATTGATGATGTTATAATAGTCTGCTTGCGTCTTTTGCAACGTCATGGTTGACTCTTCAAAAGCTGCTTGGACTATTTCGCTATCGCTCAGCTCGCTGCCGCGGGGTGTAGTAAATCCTCTGTGTAGAGACCGAACAAATTGCTTACAACTCATGCAGAAGAGAGTTGGTGTGAAGGGCACTTTAATTTGAAAGAGGTCCCAGAAACGCGTGCGACCATAATTGTAGGCAATGTAGTGTGCAAGCGAAGAAGAATTACTCATTGCGCAGTAGGTTTTGTGCAGCGTTCACTTTTGGGCAATGCCATGAAAATACAAATATGTGCGGCTTCAGTGTAGTTTAGATTCTGATGGGGGGATTGAAACGGGGCATGTATCGTGATGTGGCGTACATACATATCCACTATCGCCATTATTGTATCTTGGACAGCTAAGCTCAAATGTACCATAATAAAGTACCGTGCTGCATACCATGCTTAGTTTTGAATAGGGATGGGGTGTTGGTACGCTATTAAGAGACTACGTGCATTGCTATCCTCACGGTTTGCATCACATTGGGTTTTATTGTAAAATATGTAATTAGTATTAATCTTGCTCGACTAAGATTTAAACATTACTTACTCTGTAGTAAAGAGCAGGAGATGGATTTCATTTCTTGTAAGGCGTTCTATTCCACACCTAATTAAAGCGTACGAGGTTCCCCTCAGTGCATTTTTCATACGGACTTGTAGATTATAAGTTTCTTCTGTGTGAGGAGCACGGCATCTCGATTCGATTTTAGTATTCATCTCATCCATTCCGCGAGACTCTTTCCAGCCTTTTCGCTCATTAAAATTGCTCGCGTTATTATAATTTGTATTTGTTCTTCGTGTCGTTTAAAATGACTCCACTATATACTGATAGCTTTCACTCGTGCAACGAACCTTCACATCCGTGTTATTTGTTGATGATCTGTAGTATTCTGCAGCTGTTGAGTACTTACTCGCTTGCTTGTTCTAGTAACTTTCTCGTTTGTAGCTCTCTGACCCGGATATTAAAGGAAATAAAGTATCATGACCTCGCAAATCGAGAGCCGCGATTTACTCAACCTGTTTTCACTCTGATTTTCTGTATAAAAATCTGTCCACTCTACCTGCCCCAGTCCGACTTAAGTCTTGAATTTTCATCAACTGCTCTGTCTCTCTTTTTGATTTTCCTTCATGATTTCTTTAGTCGCGCTTAAATGACGAGTTCAAGAGAAGAGAAGAGAATTCGACGCGAATATCTCGAAGTGCATGATAAAACGCTCGGTGACTCCATCGAATGCTTTTTACACTCTCTTTCTTCAAGATACCTTCAGCTTTCTCAAGAATATCGCATAATCAAAAGCCTTGTGTTTGAGGCTGGCGAGTCTTTACACAGCTTCCGGCAAGCCCAAGTGTATAGGCTGGGACTTGCCTGACGTGTAGCTGTGGTATCAATATTGAAAAGTTTTAAATCACCGCCTACATTTGGAGAGTATTAAGAGATTTTTACCAGTGCGCGTCTGACGATGGCACCACGACATAACGTTCGGAAGAACAAGGACAGTCAAGGCAATTTCAAGACACTATGACACTGGTAGAACGACCATAGTGATTGTCTCAATGTGCCAGATCACAAAGTTTTGCCAGAAGCATTCACGACAGGACTAAAGATAGAGAAGTTGATATTATGTGTCACAAATCGCCAGTCAATACTTTGAAGTGGTGATGACCACTGTCTAACTCTCACATATTCGCGTCAGTGGACTCGCAATCACAGTTCAAAGCTTCATTCATTGCATGTTATTTTCTTACTCTGTAATATAGCAAATTTAAGATATAGATCGCTGTTCTCGAATGACGCTAATACTCCGATTGGCAGACATACTTCACTTCATGCCTTACCAGGACTTAAGTGAATTTGACAGATTCACCAAACCTGCAGCGATCCTCCTTGGCAAAACGCTCGAGAAAGCGTACTTTG